TATTATTCATTCTTTTTCTGCTGGTAATGATTTATACTCAATATATTTTTATCTTTAAAAACATTTGCAGGAATATATGTATATATATATATATTTTAAAGATCTTATTTATCCATTTGGGGGAGAGAGAGAGAGAGCGCACACAGAGAGTGAGTGAGAGGGGAAGCCGACTCCCTGCTGAGCACAGAGCCAGACACAGGGCTCAATCCCAGGACTCCTGAGATCATGACCTGAGCCAAAGGCAGACACTTAACTGACTGAGCCACCCAGGCACCCCTGCAGGAGTATGTCTTTTGACTCCGTTTAATCATTATTAACTATTTGGTACAGCTTTTCCCGATTACCCCATGCATTTGCCCAGATAAAATCTATGTTGAGTAGAGATTGGCAGGGGCATAATATATCATACTTTAATATTTTCTGTGAGTTACCTTTAATCCACTTGGCAGTATTTCCAAATCTGTATTTTTAAACATCTGTGTGGTATTCAATGGTATGATATACTCACTTGAAGATCATTTCAATTTTTTTTTTTACCATTACAAACAATGCTACCACGAACATTTTATCATCTATATCTTTGCACACATATTTGAATATTTTTGTGGAAGAGATTCTTAGAATTACTGGGTTAGCATGCTGATAGATACTGCCAAATTGTCTTCCCCAAAGGCTTTACAAATTTATAGACCCAATTATAAGGCAGAAAGCAGCCCTTCTTATGTTTTTAATTAAATTCTAAGGTGTGTTGACTGTTTTACAATTTAGAGGAGAGGCAGGTAAGTAAAAAAATGATCATAATTCAATGTGATAATTACATTAATAAAGGAACGCTGTAAGAGGGATGTCTAATACAGATTGGGTTGGAAATATTAGGAAGACTTTCCAGTGGATTTCATGCTTTAGCTGTGTTGTGAATAATGAGTGCATTAAGCAAGCAAGGGAGGAGAGGTGTGTTGGGAGGGAAGACAGTGTAGGCGTGGGGAGCAGTACATGTGAAAGGCAAAATGAATGAGATAATGTGAAGTATTGGGAACTGCAAGTGCTTCACAATTATGGAAGCACAGGGTGTCGTGAGAGAACAAAGGAAATGCAGGGAAGGTATTAAAGGACTAAGATGGTTATTCCAAGGAAGTGGGATTTTATCCTGTGGAAAATGATGAGTCATTAAAGGCATTTATATCAATGAAAAGATGTAATCTGATTTTTCTGTTGGGAAAATCACTGTCTTGTCACTGTGGGAGGTAGAATGGGGTGGGTTCAAAAATAGAGGAGATGACCAGGTGAGGAGTGATGAAGGTCTAAGCTAAGGCAAGGGTATGGTGACTGGACAAAGGGGCTGAATTTGAGAGTTCCTAAGGGGGGATTCTAAGTAGAACTGGGAGACTATTTGAGTGTGGTGAGCGAAGGAGGAGGAAGAGCTGGGGATGGTTTTTCTGTATTTTAACTTTGATAAGAAGTTAGGATTTCTGCTTGCCAAGATACAGAGGATAGGAGAAAGGACAGATGAAGATAAACTCAGGTTAAGATAATCCATGACTTTGCTGTTGCCATGGCTCAACTTAGTGGAGATGTGGGCAGACTGTGGAACACGTACATCTGGCCATCAGGTGGGAGCTGGGCTGGAGGTATAGATAGGGGAGTCGTTGTCCTGTAGGTAGAAGTGACCCCCTGTGAATGGGTGTCCGCTCCTTGGGGAACTTTGCCTAAAGTTAAAGGACGCCTAAGGGTCAGGGAAGAAGACTAGGAAGGAATGCCAGTTAAGTGTGAGGAAAACCAGGGGAGAAAGGTTATCCCGATGAAAGAGGGAAGGAGCAGATTTCAGGCCTGCTTGCTAGTGAGCGAATGAGTGGAGACTGATTTGGGGAAGTGTGGATGAGGAGGTGGAAACTGTAAATTTGTAGCAGGAGATGCCTACATTTTGACAGTTTCAGGTGCTAAGACTTTTGAGTCAAAAGAAGTAGATTCAAATCACTTTGTTTCATCACAATAGTAATATAACAAATTGTTTTTTTTAAATAAAGAAAAATTTTTTAGGGATGCCTGGGTGGCTCAGTTGGTTAAGCGTCTGCCTTCGGCTCAGGTCATGACCCCAGGGTCCTGGGATCGAGCCCCGCATCGGGCTCCCTGCTCTGCGGGGAGCCTGCCTCTCCCTCTGCCTGCCGCCCCCCCTGCTTGTGCACACACACTCTCTCTCTCTCACAAATAAATACATAAAATCTTTAAATAAAGAAAATTTTTTTTAGAGTGAACTGGGGAGGGATGGGCAGAGGGAGAGAGAGAATCCCAAGCAAGCTCCATACCCAGCGCAGAGTGTGTCATGGGGCTCCATCTCACGGCCCTGAGATCATGAGCTGAGCCGAAATCAAGAGTCAGACGCTTAGCCATCTGAGCCACCCAGGTGCCCCACAAATTTTTTTTTTAAGAAAAACATTTCTTTATCTATGTAAAATTTGAATATGTTATATATTAAAAAACATATATACCTCATACATTGCTATTGAGATTTTAAAATGGTGCAACCACTGTGGAAAACAGTAATGCAGTTTGTAAAAATGTTAAACATGGAGTTACGGCAGGACCCAGAAATTCTACCCTTAGGTGTTTACCCCAGAGAAATGAAAATACACATCTACATAAAAACTTGTACACAAATGTTCATACCAGCACTATTCACAGTGGCTAAAAAGAAAAAATACAGGGACGCCTGGGTGGCTCAGTCGGTTAAGCCTCTGCCTTTGGCTCAGGTCATGATTCCAAGGTCCTGGGATCGAGTCCCACATCGGACTCCTTGCTCAGCAAGGACCCTGCTTCTCCCTCTGCCTGCCTCTGTCTCTCTCTCTCTCTGATAAATAAATAAAATCTTAAAAAAAAAAAAAAAGAAAAAAATACACATGTCTATCCAACAAGTGGATAAACAAATACTGGGATACCCATACAATGGAATATTATTCAACCGTAAAAAAGGAACTACTGACACATTACAGCATGTATGACCCCTGGAAAATCATGCCAAATGAAAGAAGACAGTCACAAAGGATTACATATCATGTATGTATTTTATGTATGTTCATATATTTGTATGAAATGCCAAGTCCGCAGAACAGGCAACTCTAGAGAAACAAATAGATTAGTGGTACAGGTGATGCATGATCTGGGGGGGGGATGGGAAATGACTACTAATGTATTTGAGTTTTATTTCTGGAATGATGAGAATGTTCTAAAATTAGATGGTGGTGATGGTTTCATACTTCTGTGAGTATACTGAAAACCACTAAATCGTATATCTTAAAGCGTGGATTTTATGGCTTGTGAATTATTTCTCAATAAAGCTATTAAAAATAAACAAAATGGCAAAGCTAATGACAAATGAAAAAAATGATAACACTTCACAGGGATGGTTAATATTTGTAACACAAGACATTTTTATATAAAGTAATATAACAAATTCCAGTCCTTTAATTTCCATACCTGCAAAACAGGGCTCACAGGTGACCTAGAGGCGAGCTATGAGAATTAAATGAGATCACTGTTAACATTCATATTAGTTATTGTCATTATCCTCAGTCTTCATTGCACCTGGAATGCTTAAGAATCCCTGTGTAGAGAGGTTTAAGTGTTTAGCTAACTAAAATAATGGCTCGAGAGTAGAACTTGAGTATCATGAAATTCTGATGGTTGTGTTCTCGTGAATCTGATGCTATTTCATCCTCCTGGTTCATTTCATAGATATTTATTGTATTTCTGCTATGCACCAGTGCTAAACTAGTTGCCAGGGGTGCAAGGATGATTCAACCATTGCTCCTACTTTCAAGAATCTTATGATTAAGCAGGATAAAGAGACAGGATAGGATGGTTACCCTAAGATGTGGCAAGGAGGAGAGAGATGCACTCAGAGCAGAGGAGAGGCAGTGGGAAATTGGGAGTGGGTTCTAGGAATCCGTCTCCAAAGTGAAACCTGAATGGAGAAGGAGGAGTAGAAGTTACCCAGGTGACACAAAGGTGGAGGAATGGAGGCGGGCAATGAGGGTGGTAACACAAAGCAAAGGTAAATCCCAGAGTTAGCATAGAACATAGGAAATGCTGGGAACACCCAACAGCATGTGTTGCTGGACCAGGAGATGGGTGGACGCAGTGTGGTGGAATGAAGAGCCGAGAGCCAAGTTCTGAAAGCCCTTATGAGGCATTCAAGTGAGCTTTGATTTTTATCCTAGTGGCAGTTGGCAGCTTTTGAAGTTTTGTTTTGTTTTTAAAGATTTTATTTATTTGACACACAGAGAGAGAGAGAGAGAGAGCGTGCGTGCACACACACAAGCAGAGGGAGTGGCAGGCAGAGGCAGAGGGAGATGCAGGGGGAGCCCGATGCAGGACTCGATCCCAGGACCCCAGGATCACGACCCGAGCCAAAGGCAGTTGCCCAACCAACTGAGCCACGCAGGTGCCCCAGCTTTTGAAGTTTTAATCAAGCTGTGAAATGGTTAGATTTTTGTTTCATATGGATAATTGTGAGGCCTAAATGAAGGAGGAATTGAAGATAAATCTGTCCTGAAGTAGGAAGGACCTACTAGAGAAAGGAGCTTATTATAGTTTGGGCAGTGAATAAGAGTTATGGGTTAGAGGGTTTGTTCGAGAAATATTTAGGAGAGAAAATGGCAGTTGTTGCTGATGGGTGGAGAGGGTGGTGTGGGAAAGGGAGGAAGTGGCCTCAGGGGTATCTTAGGTTTCTAGTTGGGTGGTTGTGTTGGTGGTGATCACCACTTGAGATATTACAGGAAAAATGATGAGTTTATTCTCTCAGAAAACAAGAGACTGATTCATTAGGTATTTGCCTTTTGCTTTGTAGATAATCCCATGAGAATTTTCTTTGTCCAGTACTTTGACACAATAGCTGTTGGTTACCTGGGTCTTTTCTGTTCCTTCTGAAGAATAAAACTTTGCTTTCAAAATTTGTATATGCTTAACTCTCTCTTTTCTTTCTTAAAATTTTTTTTAATCTCTAGGAAGAACCTAAGAAAGTCCGCTTTGATTATGACTTATTCCTGCATCTTGAAGGCCATCCACCAGTGAATCACCTCCGCTGTGAAAAGCTAACTTTCAACAACCCCACAGAGGAGTTTAGAAGAAAGTTGCTGAAGGCAGGAGGGGTAAGTGGGCACTGCCTTGTGAAAAGCCTTCACTTCAAAAACTAGTTGCTAGTGTGTTAAGAAGTGTACTAATGTTTTGAGAGAGGTAAGAGAGAGGAAGGACCTTAATGACTTAGCTGTGGACTCCTGGTTTGGGATGAAGAGGTAAGCAAACATGAATATTTTACGTAGGTATGAATCTGAAATTATGCTGTTGGTTGGAATAGCTTGATAGTCTGTGCAGCTCAAATCTATTTTAACAAAAAGCCAAAAACAATAAACTTTCCTCAGTTAAGCAAAGAACAATGTCTGAACTTTGTCATATCAGTTTATAGAAACTTTTCGGTAAAATTGGAAGTCCTGTTTAAAATTATATAAAAAGAGGTTGTTTTCCAGATTTTCTTGGGAAAAATTAATAGAAAAAGTATAGTAATTCATGTGACAGGCTTGGGTTATTTAAATACACATTTTTGTTTATTTGAATTGTGTGTAGGTAAAAGATGGGTTTTCTTTCATTTTTTTTTTAAATGTTTTATTTATTTGTTTGACAGAGAGAGACACAGCGAGAGAGGGAACACAAGCAGGGGGAGTGGGAGAGGGAGAAGCAGGCTCCCCACTGAGCAGGGAGCCCGATGCAGGGCTCTGTCCCAGGACCCTGGGATCATGACCTGAGCCGAAGGCAGACGCTTAATGACTGAGCCACCTGGCGCCTCTCATTTTTTTTTTTTAAAGATTTTATTTATTTATTTGAGAGAGAAAGAGAGAGCGAGAGAGTAAACATGGGCAGGGGTGGTGCAGAGGGAGAGGGAGAGAAGCAGACTCCCCGCTGAGCAGGGAGCCCAATGCGGGACTCAATCCCAGGACCCTGAGATCATGACCTGAGCCAAAGGCAGATGCTTAACTGACTGAGCCACCTAGGCACCCCGGATTTTTTTTTTTTTTTTTTTAAAGATCATGGTAACCAAGTTTTGCCTGTGTGATTTGGCTAGGATGGGGAACGATTTTTAAGTGAGGTTTTGTGCAGACACAAATGTACGGAATGTTTGCTTGCAGCTAAGTCAGCTGTGCAGGCAAATGCTACTGACTCATGGAAGTCTACAATGGGTGCCATTTGGACCATCATCCTCTTTCCACTTCAGATGAACTTCCTGTGTCATCTTATGTGGGCAGTTCTGACCCCATAAAATGTTGAAATGCATTCTTTACTCTAGAATTTCCTTCACTTAGTTTTTCTGGAAGGTTTTTGATAGCTTTGCCTCGATGCTCTTACCATATGTGTAAACATATGTGGATCATAACTTTGCAAAATGCCTCATTTCTTTCGTAAGCTCTATCTGAGGGCTATGTAGGGAAGAGTTTGGTTTTGTATAGCACAGAAGTGTTTTCCCTTTATCGAAACCCCTTTTTGTGGGGTTAGAGACAACCACTTGGAGAAGCTGTGGACCTTCTCATAAGAAAATCACCCATATGTACAGCTGTGTGAACATTTTGGGTTATGTGGAACTCCTGGAGTCCCTTTTTTGGAGTCCTATTTTGCCAAGATCCTATCCTTTCAGCTGAAATACTAATATGCATTTGAAGCATTGTAAGTCCCTTTACCACATTTCATTCAGTACTCTGCTATGTCAGTACATTATGGGTTAAATAGGTATTGGGCCAGGTTTGGAAATAAACCACCACTTATAGTATTTTATGGGGAAATGTGTCTTCATGAAGAAATGGCCTTTTGTAATACAACTCATTTTTCTTTTTCTTTTTTTTTTAAGATTTATTTATTTATTTTAGAAAGAGACAGTGCAGGGCGCCTGGGTGGCTCAGTTGGTTGGGCGACTGCCTTCGGCTCAGGTCATGATCCTGGAGTCCCGGGATCGAGTCCCGCATCGGGCTCCCTGCTCGGCGGGGAGCCTGCTTCTGCCTCTGACCCTCCCCCCTCGCATGTGCTCTCTCTCTCTCTCAGTCTCTCTGTCTCAAATAAATAAATAAAATCTTTAAAAAAAAAAAAAAAAAAAAAAAAAAAAAAGAAAGAGACAGTGCAAGCAAGCGTGAGTGGGCGGACGGGCAGAGAGAGAGGGAGGGAGAGAATCATCAAACAGATTCCCTACTGAGCATGGAGCCCAACATGGGGCTTGATCTCAGGACCCTGAGATCATGACCTGAGCTGAAATCAAGAGCCGGACGCTTAACCCAGGTGCCCCTGTAATACAACTCATTTTAAAGTTAGAGATTTATTATATATTTATTAAGGAAGTGGTGTTTTTTTTTAAAACCTATTTTATTCTTTTTATAGTTACCAAGAACACAGTGTTGATGCTATTTACCTGTGGCTGTGCCCTTAAAAATGAGCTGGTCCATCCCTGGTTATCTGCCCAAAGAAAATGAAAACACTAGTTTGAAAAGATATATGTGCCCTTACGTTTATTGCAGCATTATTTACACTAGCCAAGAAACACTCTCTGTGTCCATTGATAGATGAGTGGGTAAAGAAGATGTACATATATGTAATGGGATATTACTCAGCAATAAAGAAAGAATGAAATCTTGCCGTTCATGACAACATGGATGGACCCAGGAGGTGGATATTCTGCTAAGTGAAGTAGGTTAGACAGAAAGACAAATACCATGATTTTACTTAGATGTGGAATGAAAAAAAGCAAGTCAAACAGACAAACAAAATAAAACCAACGGAAACAGACTTGCAAATACAGAGAACAAACTGTTGATTGCCAGAGGGGAGGAGGGTAGGGGACCGGTGAAAAATGTGAAGGGGATTAAGAGGTACAAACTTCTAGTTATACAATAAATAAGTCACGAGGAGGAAAGTATAGCATAGGGAATTTAGTCAGTAAGCTTGTAATGACTTTGTCTGGTGACAGATGGTGACTACACTTATCATGGTGAGCATTTCATAATATGTATAGCTGTCGAATCACTGTGTTGTACACCTGAAACTAGGACGGTATTGTATGTCAACTATACTTGGATCAAAAAAATGAGTTGGTCCGTTTTAAATCCTGATTGTTATTATTTTCTTTTTATGTTGGTGGCATTTTATGCTTCTCATTATTCCTCTCGGATATGTCGTTAGGTGGGTGATCGGAGCCTGTGGATTCTGAAACTTGAGTACCTCAGGGTTCTGATAAGAGTCGTAGGAAAGAGTAAATATGATACAAGAACTTTTTGAAACGCCACTTAGTCCCAGAGCACTCAGGGCTTGCTTGCAAGCTGAAGAGGTTACAGGTCAGTGATAATGCGGCAGAGTGCACTGCTGCATCCCAATAAGGTCTCTAGTAGAGTTCTGTCTTCCTCTTCTCAGCCTTTCTCTCAGAACTGTCCTCCTTGACTTTCCTTCTTTGTATTTCTTGAAGTGCTGTTTGAAGCCTGTAGATTTGTTTCTGTTAGACTTAGATTGTGTCTTGACACCTCTAAAATAAGTTGAAATGTGAAATATTCAGGCAAACCAGTTACTTAACATAAATTCTTTAAGAGACTGATACCAGTAAATTTTGGGGTAAAATTAAAATTTAAAAATGTGCTTGAAATAATAGTAATCCAGGCGCCTGGGTGGCTCAGATGGTTAAGCATCTGCCTTCGGCTCAGGTCATGATCCCAGGGTCCTGGGATCGAGTCCCGCATCGGGCTCCCTGCTCAGCGCGGAGCCTGCTTCTCCCTCTGCCTCTCTCTCTCTCTGTCTCTTATGAATAAATAAAATCTTAAAAAAAAAAAAAAAAGAAATAATAGTAATCCTATAGATTCTGTCCAGTTCGTATGGGAAAATTAGTCTTTTATGGAAATGTGGGAATCTATAGACTAACAAACATTTTTTTGGCTTACCTAGATTTTTGGCTACCTTGTATTGTTTTTACCTGGTATGTAAATATTTATCATTGTCTTGATATTAATGCAGCCTGTCGTCGTGTTACTAACTTATCAGCCATTTTGATTTTATTAGAAATCTTTCTTGGGGCGCCTGGGTGGCTCAGCCGTTAAGTGTCTGCCTTCGGCTCAGGTCATGATCCCAGGGTCCTGGGATTGAGCCCCACATCAGGCTCCCTGCTCTGCGGAAAGCCTGCTTCTCCCTCTCCCACTCCCCCTGCTTGTGTTCCCTCTCTCACTGTGTCTCTCTCTGTCAAATAAATAAAATCTTAAACAAAAAAAAGAGAAATCTTTCTTTTAAGCTTTATTAACATAATTGACATGCATATACCATTGTATAAGTTTAAGATGTACATTGTATTGATCTTGTACATTTGTATATTGCAGAATGATTACCACCATAGCTTTGGCTATCCTCTTCATCATGTTACATAATTACCATTTCTTTTTTGGTGAAAACATTTAAGGTCTACTCTCTTGGTAACTTTGTTTATTTATTTATTTTATTATTTTTTAAAGATTTTATTTATTCATTCATGAGAGAGAGAGAGAGAGAGAGGCAGAGGGAGAAGCAGGCTCCCAAGGAGCAGGGAGCCCGATGCGGGACTCGATCCCAGGACTCTGGGATCATGACCTGAGCCGAAGGCAGATGCTCAACCATCTGAGCCACTCAGGCGCCCCTCTCTTTGTAACTTTGAAATACACAATTCAATAATATTAATTATAATTGCCATATATAATTGCTTTCCATTGCATTCCACTTACTCTTCTTATAAGTGAACATTTGTACTGTTTGACCAGCATCTCCTCATTTTCCCCCACCCTCCAGCACCTGGTAGCTACCATTCTAGTCTCTGTTTCTAGGAGTTCAGCTTTTTAAGATACCACATATAAGTGATATCATAGAGTATCTGTCTTTCTCCGTCTGACTTTCACTTAGTTTAATGCTTTCAGGTTTTATCCATGTTGTCACAAATGGCACGATGTCCTCCTTTCTCATAGCTGAATAATATTCCATTATTCTCTCCATTCACTTAGGTTGTTTCCAGATCTTGGCTATTGTAAATAATGCTGCAGTGGACATAGAAGCACAGATATCTTTTCAATATCCTGTTTTTTATTTTCCTTTGTACACACACACATACACG